TCTCTGAGGGTGGGCAAGGGAAAGTCAAAAAAGAGGCAACGAGTCGGTTCATTTAACCCCTTTTTAGGAATTATGATAAAATGAGAGGTTTCTGTGTACTGTCCCCACTGAAACCCCCTCCCCACAGGCCTCCCAGCTCTCTGAATCCCACTATGCTATCAGGATGGGCTTCTCAGGGGACGCATGAGTTGAGTGCCGGCCAGAGAGGTCCCATGGAGAAGAGGTCAGCCCATAGGTTTGGGAGGCAGAGTGACATGACTTGGACAGAATACGTCCCCTTGCTGAACCTCAGCTTCCGATCTATAAAATGGGGCTAATTCCACCTACTATGCAGGCGGAAACAAGAAAACCAAAGCGGGGTGCTCCCCGGCAGCTCTATACCTGTTATCCACCTTCTGCCTTGTCCAAGGCACTGAATGCTGGAACACAAATATGAGGACACCACCTGTGTCACCTGAGGGCTGGAGGGCTGGCTCCTGCCTTGCAGTGGAGATGGTCACATAGGAATGGTGGCTAAAGCGTGGCCAGGGAGACGGCACCGGGCTGGGAGCAGAGGAAAGGCTGGTGGCCTTGGGAATGGCAGGAGATGGAATGGGGACATTACGAGACCTTGGGGATCTGTCCTAAGACAGCTATCTCTGTGTAAGCCACTCTCCATCCTGTACACAGAGGAGCCCTGCCAGGGCAGGAGGTCAGAATGCAAGGTGGGGGGCGGGCGGGAGGGCTGGCTGGGGAAGCCGCAGGAGCTGCTGAGGGCAGGCCAGCTTGGACCATTAGAGTTTCATGTTTTATGTGCTCCTCTCCACCCTGGTCCTCCAGGGAGGGCCACATCAGAGGCCTATCCACTAATCCTGAGCACCCATGGGGGTGGGAGGGGGCCACAGGCCCCAAGCAGGGGATATATAGGAAGGAGTGATGGACATCGTCACCGGAATCCAGCCAGTTCTCCAGGCCCCATGCCATCCTCTGTCTCTCTAGTCTGGGGGATGGACGAGCAGGTGTATCCAGAGCAGCCCGAAAAGTTGTGCAAGCCTAGAGTTTTGCTGGGTTGGCACACAGGCATTTCAACACCCAGCTGAATGTGGGTTATGCAGAGGGCAGAGTGGAGCCAGCAAGAGGGGCAGGGAGGAGGAAGGTTCTTGGGGCAAAGGAGGACTTTGAAAGAGCTGAACCAGGAGCACTTGAAGAGTGGGCTACGTGAAGCAGGACCCTCCAATCATCTCTGTCTTCTCCCCCCAGGGTGTGGGTGGGGTCTGCACCACTTCCTTCCCTGGCCTGGCGGTCTGAGCACCCAACAGAGGGCCTGTCTACAGCTAGCACGCAGACGGCGTCTACCAAATGGATGCAAATAACCTCACCAGGCTAGGCGGGCAGGAAATTTCTACCTCGGAGAGCAGCCGCCGTTACCTTTTACTGGGGACGCTGCACGTGCCAGGCGGAGTGCCAGGCACTTTACATCCATCATGTCACGTCACCCTCTCAGAAACCCGGGAGATGGGTCCTGCTATGGTTCCTAGTCCTGTCAGGCCCGGAGGAGGCGGGGTGTGCAGCTAGGGGGAAGGGCAGCTGCTGGCTTTCACAGGCTGGGCTGTTAGCATCCACAGTTACAGCTCTGTCCTGAGGGGCCATGCAGATACCAGCCCATGGGTCAGAGCTGAAGACGCTTATGTTGAGCTCAGGCCCCATCATGGAGGGAGACCAGTACCTGTCCAGGGAAAGACTCTGAATGCGGCCTGTACCGGGGGCTTCTCAGAGCAGCTATGACCCTGGCTGCTCACTCCAGGGTCAACGGACAAGCAGCTGATTTGTGCCTGAGCTCTGGGCTCAATGGGGTTTTGCTGATGGTAGCGATGTGCTTTGGAGACACTGTGTCCATAGCGTCCCAGCCAGTCACATTCAAGGCAGGGGCAAATTAATAACTCCTTTTAATTGCCCAAATAAGGGAACCCAATAAGACTTTCATGGGCCGCAGGAGCAGGGTTTTGTGTCGTCCTACGTGGCCAGGGCGGGAGGCGCTGGGCCTCGTAGCTCACACACCCAGGCCGTCATTCCCACAGAGCATCTCTCCCGCTCCCTGCCACTGCAGGCCCCTTGGTCCTGGAACCCCAGGGCGCACGGCCTCCAATGCAACAGAACCACAATGCCACCCGCTTCTTTGAAATGTTCCTTTCACAGAGACAACTCACTTCCTCTTAAGGCTTCAGCTTGATCACCTGACCCTGGAGCCCCCAGTCTCCCTCTTCCTCCAGGCCGCTGGGTGATAACCACAAATGGGAAGCCCGCTCCTGGTGGCCCCAGGAATCTGATGGACAGTGATGAGGGTTCCACAGGAAGGATGTTCCACTTTCAGGGGTGTGTTTCAAACCACAGACACAGCCCACTGTCTTGAGGCACCCAGGCCCTTGGGGGGTTTGGGAGGGAATCCAGTAGGAGAGGTCAGGTGGCAGGAAAGGGGGATGTGGTCTCTAGTTCTGTGCCTCTCTCCCTGTTCTGTGAGGGAGGGGCCCTGGGGCCTCACTCCTAGTGTTCTTCCATGGTCACCACGGGCCTGCCCAGGATGGGCACGCGGCCAGGAACATCTAACGAGCCCCCAGGGATGAGGCAGGAAGCCGCCTCAGGCCACGCTCGGAGGGTGAGCATGTTCAGTCACCAGGGCATTCCACTCTAGGGCGCCCAGCCTGATAGGAGGACCTGCACGTAGACAGCAGGGGGGCAGCGGGTATCAAAGGCCAGGAGGAGGCCCAGTGAGGGCGGCACTCTGAACTGTGGTGCAGCTCAGTAAAGCGTGAGTACGTGCTCACACGTTCCGGTGCTGGGGTGCTGCGAAACCATGCCAGGGCTTTGGTGGCACTACCCAGGTCCCCTCTGGGTAGACCTAGCCTCAAGAACACAGCGGAGGGTCTTTTTCTCTTGGATCTACAGCTTAGAGAGCAGAGCATGGACTGTATTTCCACCCCTCAGCTGGGCGCCTTCGTGCAGTGCACAAAACGTGTGCCATCTTTGGGGGTCCTCACAGGTGAACCCAAGGGTCTCAGTCCTCTGGGGGTTAGAATTTTAACATACGAATTTGGGAGGGACACAGACATGCAGATCATAGCACCAAGTGACCTGTGCAAGGGGCGCTGGTGTGTGACAGACGCCTGTACTATGGCCTGGTAATGGTCAAGAACTTGTGCAAGTGGGCCAGGTCCAGGAGCTATGTGGGTAATAGCTGCCAAGTGTTCTCGCTGCTCTCAGAAAGCAGGTCCCCTCAGTTCCTCACGGCTCCCCTATTCTGCCGTTTAGTTGCCCTGAGCGTGGTCCCCATCCAGTTCCAGAGCTGCACACAAGACCCGGTGCATTTGATATGGCCCCGTGGGCTAGCCCCGTTTCCCCAGGGCCATGTGTCCCCACCTCTGCTCCCGAAACTGAGAGAGTCTGAGAGCAAAGGGAGCTGTGGCCGCCACAACAGACAAACAGCCAGGCAGCAGGCCTGGTCCAGATACACCTGCTTATCCTCACTTAACAAGCTGGAGTACAAGGGGCTGTGGTCCCACTAACACACCAGCACCGCCCCACCCCAGGCAGAATCACCCCAGCTCTGTGCAGGGTGTGCTAGAAGGAAGCCTGTGCTTAACACACAACAAAGATAGCTAACACTTACACGGAGCGGAGCGGTTTCTATGTACCAAGCCCTGTCCTAAGGGCTTCTCGGACCTAAACTGGATTTACTCCTCACTACCTTGAGGCAGGTGCTGGTGTTATCCCTGTTTTACAGATGAGGAAATCGAGGCCCACAGAGGTTAGGCAGCTTGCTCAAGGTCACATGGTAACTAGTGCCCGAGGCAGGGTTTGATCCCGGCCACCTCCTCAGCACTGTCCTGCCATGTTTCAGCGATGGAACCCAGGGCCACTTGGGTTCACAGAAGTGTTGATTCTGCTACTCTCTCCTTTTGCAAATAGGATACTTTTAGGGGTGGGAATGCTGTAAGAGAAGGCAGTCTGGTGCAGTTCTCAGTCTGTAACCTCTAACTTATAGGTTTTTTAGTCTAATTCATACAGTGTGACAACGAACAAGTTAAAGGACTCGGAGAAACAACATCTGTCGGGTACCTGTAGACGTTATGTCCACGTAACACACCTAGTTTCACGAACTCTCCAAGACAGCCTTGCAAGGTGCCCGTGCCCATCTTGCAGATGAGCACACTGGGGCCCAAGGAGACGGGAACTTCAATGCCCAGCAGTAGAAATAGGCTTGGAATCCAGGTCCCTCTGATTTTAAAGAAGCGTTGGAGAGGCAACCAGATGAAATGGGGGTGGCGGGGAAAGAAGAGGAGAGAGCAGAGGGCTGGGAAGGAGGGGGCAACGGAAGCAGATGTGAGCCCCAGGAGAAGGACCTGGCCAGTGAGGACGGTACTCTTGGGTCACTCTGAGGACCTTCTTGGCTTCCAGGGCCTGGGAGTCTCAACGCCCAGAGCTGTCTCCATCCCCGGGGTGATCCCACCAGAGTGAAGGGACTGGGAGAGAGGGAGGGAGGCAGGCTGGCGAGCTGGCCAGCCACGACTCCCAGTCCTGCTGCGACTTGCTGGAATACCAGAACCCCAGTGTTTACGAGAAAGCAGGCTCGGGGGCGGCACCGCGGCTGGCTCTGGTCAGCATCAAAGACAAACAGATGGGCTGCAGGCGGACCAGGGGGGAGCCAGCACCGGGGAGGCCCGCCACCGAAGAAAGGGCGCCCTACAAGGGGCGCGCAGGGGCTATGGGGTGGGCGAGGACCAGGACACACTCCCAGCCTATTAAAAGAACAGAAGAAAGGGGGCTCGCCGCCCCCCCACAGCTCCCCTCTCCTCTCACTCCCTGCCCGCAGCGCTTTGAAAGGAGGAGGGGTCCTAGTGAACCCCACGCCTCCGACAGGCCCCCTGACTCCTTTGTCACAGCAACCCCTGCACGAGGCACCTCGGGCCACCTCCCCTCCCCTCCGCTCCCCGCCCGCGCCCCCGCGGCGTCGCCCCAGCACTCACCCAGCGGCAGGCTGATCCGAGGGGCGAACGCCAGAGTCGCAGGCGGCGACGGCGGCAGCAGCAACAACAGCAGGAGGAGCAGCCGGTTTCTCCGGGCCATCGCGGCGCGCGGGGCTCGGGCAGCAACGGCGTCCTCCGGGCTCTGGCTCAGGTGGCTCTACTGGACTCGCCGGCGGTGGACCAGCCCCTGGACCTGGGGGGGGGGGGACCGGTCACGTGGTCGCCGCGAGCGCAAGCCCCTCCGATCCCCGCTCCGCGGTCTCGCCAGCCCACTCCGAAGGAGGCAGGCCGCCAGCCAGCCAGCGCAGGAGGGAAGGGCCAAGAGCCGGAGGAGGAAGTGGGGCGGGCCCTACCCCTACCCACCCCTTCTCCCTTCCTCCTTCCTGGGCGCTGTGGGCACAAGGGGCGCCAGCTGTGAGCCCACCGGGAGGGGCCCAGTCCAGGGGTCTGTAGGCGCCGAGGCCGCCCGGCCGCGGGGTGCGGACCCCTATATCTCCGCCTCCACCTTCAGACCCTCCCACCGCTGCCCTGGCCCCTTTCCGGCGGCTTGGCGACCCTCTGAGCGGGTGGTGTGGTCTCCACCGTGCGCGCCCTGAGGGTCCGGCCTGGGTCTTGCTCCTTTATTTCCGCTCCCTCCTTCTGCCGCCCCTCCAGCTAAAGCTTCTGGCACCCACTTGTCCGTAACCAAATGTACTTGGCCGAGTTCGTGCTGACGCCGGGGGCTGGTTGCTTCTGAGTCTAATTTCTGCACGGATCAGTCCCACCTTAGGTCTTGGCTGCGTTCACTGCAGGCCCAGCACTTACTCCCAGGGCCCAGCCGGGCGACCACACTTAGAATTCTGTCCACACCAAGCTGAACCTCGGGTAGGGGGAGCGGGACACTATTAGCTTAAGTGGAATGAAAGGGTTTAATGTACTGCCCTGGGAAGTGAGACCTCCACAACCCACGCATGGCAAAGTACTCCCTGAGGCTGGAGTGGATCCCAGAGGCATCCACCTTAGAAAAGCACTGGGTCTACCCACCTCCAGTCCTAACATCTCCAGGAGTGCCACTCGGTCCAGCTGAGACCAGGGCTTTCACTGCAATCTGGACCCCTTAGTATGGCCTGAAATTAACGTTGTGACTCCCTATGAGCGTTAAAAAAAGAAGCAGAATATAAAGTATCAAAGTGCAGTGATCATAAAAGATAAATTAGCTTTGGGAAACACGTTTCAACTTTCCTTGAGTGGGCACTGGATCACAGTAAGATGTAATTCTTGCTGTATTTCGAATCAAAAGGAGTTTCACAACCTCACTCGTCATTTCCATGGCAGTGGGGACAGTTCCTCCAGGAATTAGCTGCAGTCCTGGGAACGTTCCTCATCACCCCCAGCCAAAAACGAGCTTCCTCAGAGACACCGCTGTTTGCTCTCACCCCATCCCCAGGGCCTGCCACATCCTCTCCCACAGCGGGGCTGTCAGGGTGGACACAGCACTCACATGGTCCCAGGTTTCTCTTGCAACCAACCTTCCCCACGTCCCATGACTTCTGTACCTCCATTATCCCCACACCCTTCTATGGGCACAGGCCAAGCTAGCAGCACCCCTTTTAAAGGGGCTCTCAGCACATGGGATATGGACAGCAGCAAGCACCCCCAGCTCTAGCACTGCCCAGGCTTTGGACACTAATTACCTTTATCAGTCCTGTTAATCCATCTTGAGCCAACGTCCAAGCTTCTATCTGCAGCCAGGACCTCTGTCCTGAACTCCAAATGGCCTCAACGTTTCCACTGGTTGTCTTGTCTGACAGGCATCTCAAAGCCAACATGTTCCAAGCTAAGCTCCTGATCTCTCCCGCTCCCTCCCAAGAGCGGGCTCCATCTGCGTGAACCTTCCCCGTCTCTTTAAAAGTAAGTCCATCTTTAAGTTGCTCAGGTGAAAAACCTAACTCCTTTCTTTTCTCTCACTCCCTACATCCAATCTACTAGGAAATCCATAAGCTGACCACACATCACCTCCCGAGGGCCCAGGTACCGCTCGCTCTCTTTCTTCTGGTGACTGCAGCAGCCTTCTCACTGGTCTCCCCACTTCCACCCTTGCTCCCCCCGGCAGGCTGTTCTCAACTCAGCAGCCAGCGAGACTCTTACAAAACCAAAGTCAGGTAGGTCATGGCACCCATTTGCTCAAGACCCTCCAGTGGTTCCCTGTCTCATTCAGAAGAAAAGCCAAGGACCTTCAGTGAGTAGCTAGCTGCAAGGCCCATGTTCTCCTCATCCCCATGGGCACGGCCGCAGCGTACTCCACTACCCTCTCCCATGCACTCTGTCCCCGGCTTACCCACCCTCTGGTGCTGGGACTTTGCCCTGGCTACTTCCTCTGCCTGGAGGTAGCCACAAGACTGAGTCCCTTTCTTCCTCCAAATTCTTGCTCCAAGATTACCTTGAAGAATCTGGACTTCTCCCAATATTCCTTACCCTGAGATTTTGTTCCAAAGCACTCATCACCTTCTAACACGCTAGATGATTTGCTTATTTGCTGTGGTTTTGATTGTCTAAACTCCCTACCTGCCCCTCCCCCAAAAAAATATTGACTGAGGGGTGAGGCGGGGGTGGGCAGGGGTTTTTGCTTATCTGGCTATTAACTAACATATCCCAAGCCTGGCTATTAACTAACATATCCCAAGCCTCTAGAACAGTGCCCGGCATACAGCAGGCCCTCAAGAAGTATTGGTTGAATTCATGAATGCAACCTAAGTGTCATGGAGTACTGTTGGCTCACGGCAGCCAACAACCCGATCTACTTTTTGATGTCACCTTTGGTCCCGTAAGAGTTCCCCCAAACCTGCAGTTATGCAATTATCTTTCTCAACCTAAGCCCAGGACTTTGTATTGATCTCTTTTAAATCTATTGGTTCTGGTCCAGATTTTATCTTATTGACTCATCTTACTGATTCATCTATCATCATACATTTTGGTTTCCCCTCCAAGCCTTGAGTCGTCTGTAAATTTGATAAGCATCTCTTATGCCTTTACTCAAGCCATTGATAAAAATTTGGGGTGAGCAGACCTAGCACCCAGCTCTCGGTTTCTAAATATCACTGTCCAATGAAAGGCACAAGGACTCCTTGGGGAAATGAAAGGGAAAGTAAAAAGTGAGCCTGGGACATTTTGTTGAGCCAGAAAAGCAAGGAAGTGATTAAACATTAATGGGATTATGTGAAAAGGACACAGGGCCAGCTTGATGATTGAACTTGGGACAATCTGAGCATTGAAAATCATAATGAAGTAAGAGTTCTAATGCATTAAATTAAAAACAACGTATTAATCCATGGTGACATTCAGAGAAACAGAGAGAGAGAAAGGAGGAACAGAAAGGACACTTTCCTTTGCAGAAAAATGCTGGCTGATAAATGTAGGAGAAACGATAGAATTGGAGAATCTAGATTAAAGCAAGAATCATTATCGGATACTCAACCATTGGGTGGATGATTGCCGGGAAACTATATATAAACAAGGTCTCAAAACCTGTCCCACAGGTGACTTACCAGAGAGAAAATGTGTCTCTAAGGAAGGGCTCTGGTGCTCATCATCTTAACCAAGTGGTTGAAAGAAGCATCACCAGTAACGGGGCTTCCTGCCATCATGTACGTCCTGATGTGATACAAGAAGAAATATACAACACCGTCCGTCAATCCTTGCAGCATTCTTGTCAAGAGTGTTTAACTCAGATCTAATGAGGACACAGTTGAGATGCATCCAGCACTCTCCAAGACAACTAGCCTGAACTCTTCCAAGATGTCAATCTGATGAAAGGCAAAATGATGGGGGGGGCTGTTTTAGGTTAAGAAATTAAAAAGAAGGGGCAACTGGTTAGCTCAGGTGGTTACAGTGCAGTGCTCATAACACCAAGGATGCCGGTTCAATCCCCGCATGGGCCGTGGAGCTGTGCCCTCCACAACTAGATTGAAACAACTACTTGACTTAGCGCTGATGGGTCCTGGAAAAACACACTGCTCCCCAATAAAATCCTTTTTAAAAAAAAAGCAATTAAAAAGACATGCACTGTACACCTGAAGCTGAAGTAGAATAACATTGAATGTCAACTATAATTAAGAGTGTGTGTGTGTGTGTGTGTGTGTGTGTGTGTGTGTGTGTTAGAAATAGTGTGAGTGCCTCTGTGGCCAAGTTTTAACCATTAGTTAACACAGAAAAGCTATGGGTATTTTGTAAATTGGGTGGAAGTGGGTGAATTGGGTGAGACAGGACCCAAAAGAGAGCCCAATGCCACGAGAGACTTCTATCAGGATTAAAACTGGTCAATAACCTTTCCGGGTTGAGCAGCTAGCTAGGTGTCCTCCTACCTGTACTGTTCAGCCCCCATTTCTCTGTATTACCCATAAGAATCTCATGAAAAATAATGGCAACAAATCTTGTTGCACTCTGGGAACTAGCTGCAGCTCTTACTTCCTCTGGCTTCTGCTTATGGCTGTCGCCTAGGACAGGGCTGGATGAGTGGCACGTGCTGACAGCCTGCTGTCAGGTAACTCCTAACAGGGCAGCAAGGTGGGGTTGTCCTAACATCTTGGCAACACCAGGGTGGGGTGACTGCTCTGCTCATCCCTGAGGAGAGGAGGCAGGGGCTGACTCCGCTTGGTGGGTAATTATATTCTGCTCATGGCTATTCAAATGCCTTAAGTATGTCTTGTGCCAAGTGGGTAGCAAGCAAGCCTCTTGGGGACAGTGACAGGTCTTCCAGGCCAGGACGCCTCTCTGCCAAGCACAGCACTCCCGTAGGAACTCCACAGGGCTGACAAAATGAAGCACCCAACTGTTGGCCTGGAGAGGAGCCCTCCACTCCATGCCCCCGACATGGTGGCCTTAGCCCCTGTGGGCTCCCCCATCTTCCATTAGCATGCCAATTTGTTCTCCCCAGACTGGAAAAAACGGAGGACGGCTGACAGAGAAAAACCTCATCGGAGCTGACTTCCTGTGGGCGAAAGTGTGGTTCCCAAGCCAAGGCTGTGTCTCCTGCTCCCCTTTGCCACTCTTGGATGTGGGCAAATCCTTCTCGGCCAGAACGTCCGTGTTATAAAGAGCTCAGGGGGCGGCTTGGAAAGAGAGTATAAAAGGAGCCGAAGAGAAAGGCAGCCCTTCCTCCGTGCCCCCAGCTGGCAAGATGAAGTCATCACCAGGCCTGGCCTTCTTTTCTCCCTCCACTCTCACCGCCCTGCCTTCCTCCCATCCTCACCTTCCTCCCGTCTCTCTCGTACACACAGACACACACACATACAAGGATAAAAATGGAAGGATGAGGTGTAAAAGGGACGTAGGAATACATACGAAGAGGCTGAACAAAACTTTTCTGTGGTGAGAGATGCCAGACAAGGGGGCTCATGCCCCGTAGGCAAACAAGGAGACTTTAAGGATGACCAGGATGGTCTATCTACTGCTTGATCTGGCAAGTGTATACAAATGTTAAAATGTTCAGAGCTGTGTACACAGTTCAGATGTGTGCTTTTTCCTGTGTGTCCGTTTATATCTTATGCCTGTTATCACGGGGGGCGGGGAGGACACACACACACACACAAAAGCCAAAAGAAAAAACAAACAAACACCTCACCTATAGGATCAGGTAGAAGAAGAGCTAGAGAAGAGGGAGAGAAAGGAGAGAAAGAAGAAAGGCTACAAATAAAGGGAAGCGTGGTTAAAAATATAAAGCCTGCTACCTCTCTAACCTGCTCAGCACAAAAGAAAGGGCAGTGGGCATGGGCACAGGGCAAGGGCTGGCAGTGGAATGGTTGTCTAGGCCACAGCCAGCCTGTCCAGCAATCAATACTAACTAATCATCTATAGGGACAGCCTCTGCCCAGGTGCAGGCCAGCTACGTCCTTGGCACGGATGGCCCCTGCCAGGTGGCCCCCGGCCAGGTCGGCCTGCTGTCATTCCCACCAGGGGAACCTGGCTCTGCAGCTCCCACAGTTCTACTCTGGAGTCATTGCTTTGTTTGCTGGCCGTGGGGGAGGGGCCTCCTGCCAAGCCCAGTGGAGCTTGAACCCAAAGGTCCCACCCGCTCCCTCCTGGAGTAGCTAGCACTCCTTCCGGTTCCTGGGTTCTGGCTGGCTGGCAGGCTGCCCAGCAAGCCTCACAGACACACACTGGCTCGGCCCAGCTCCCCGGGCCTTGGCGCCCCGCCACCGTCCCCTCGTAGCCCTGAGCCCTCCTCTCATGCCAATCTGCAGCTGCAGCTCTCCACCCTGCTCTGGCTGGGCACGCTGCTGCTGCTGTCTCCTCCCCAGGGGCTGGGCAGCAGCTCAGCTGCAGCATCAATACATTTTGATGAGGAAGCGACACCAGCTGGCACAGCCTGTGTGTGCTTTTAAACCAGCCAATGACTTCCAGATCCTGGTGGCTGGGAGCCTCCTTGGGGCAGTGCCCTCTTCAGCAGAGGGCATTCCCAGGCCAGCACGAATACAGCTTCAGATCTCACAGGCAACTGTTCACCAGGGTCTGGCAATAAGCGTGAACGGCCTCATTTCTGTTTCCCAAATTGTATTCCCCTCCACTGGTCCCTCGTGTTTCCTGCTCTGGTAAGTGGTAGAATCCAGTGGTCAGGTCCTCTGATTCTTCCGTCAGAAGAACCTCAGTACCATCAGTTACTTGGTGGACTGGGAGCAAGCCACACAACCTGTCTGAACCTCAGATTCCTCATCTGTGAGATGAGAACACTGACCGAGCTCCGTGGGCTGCCAGGGGAGCTGATGTCAGCACTGGCATACGGTGGAGGTTCCACCGGACAAAGCTACGCTTATTATGTTACTAGTTCCCCTCACCTATCTGAGCTGTCACCATCTCAATAACTTCTAACCATCTTAGAAGCCCAACCCCCAGAACCCCTTTTGGATTCTCCCTCAGGTTCAGCTGCCTTGTACAAACTCAGTGCTGAGGCTGCAAGTCTTATAGGGAAAAGGAACCAGTCGCCCAGGCCAGGCCCCGGGGTGTGCCAGCTGTGGTGAGCAGCCCGCCACCCGCCCTGGCGCCACCCTTGCTGGGGCCTGTTGGGGCCTGAGCTGGCCACTCCCTGGGAGGGGACCCCCTGCCCCAAGGGGCTGTGGTGCAACCAGCAGGGCTCAACCTGTCCCTGCCTGGACATGGTAGAACACGAAGTTGCCACTGTCACTTCCCCACCCCCAACACGAGTTCAAGGAGGGGCTGTCGGCCTGTGCCCGCAGGCGGGCCTGCTCACCCGGGGGCCTCAAGAGCCCGGGTAACTGTTGGCCTGGCTGACGCTTGGCACCTGCTACCCAAGAGGCACACAATGACTGCTAAGTGACTCTCTGCAGCCCCTCACAGGTGGGAGGTAGGTGATCTCGGCCAGGTGAGGGTGGAGAACAAGAAGCCTGGGGGTCTAAAAGAGAGTTTTGGCCTCCAGTTTGGTTTATCAGACCTGAGGACCCTCCATTCGGAAGAGCCCAAGAAATCAGAAATCTACCTCCCATTTGCCCACCAAGTTCCTCCACCTTAAATCCCACTCTGAGCTCCAGACCCCCTCCCCCCACTCACCCCCTCCAGAGCCTTGGTTCCAGCGCTGCCACAAAACAGGTCAAGACTGAGGAGCCGTCAGGGTGCTGGGGGACGGACAGGTGTGCCCCACTGATGTTCTGCATTTCCGAGGTCTGCACTCTCACCCTGCTTTGCCACTCTCAGTGGCAGTGTGTCCACTTGCCATCCTGAAGCAATGGCATCAGGAGACAACACTTGCAGGACGCTGGTATGAGGATGGTACCAAAGGCCCACGCTTAGACAGGGCTTTTGCACACCAGCCACCCAGGCCTGCGACTCCTTAACTCCGGGCATCACCAGTTCAGCGCTGAGTAAGCGCTGGGCTGGAGGCCACCATGAGGCGCCAAGTGGGCCCAGCTGGACCCTAGCGGAGGAGGGTCCTGGACTTGGCGCATGACCCACCCAGCCATACAGGCTTAGCTCTAGCTTCTCCACCTGTGGTTTCCACAGGGACCCCATAAACCCCCTAAAAGGAAGCAGACTCACCTCGCCCCTCCCAGGCCCTTCTCCCACGACTGATGCCTTAGTTGCCTTCATTATAACCTGTGAGCAGTAGAGCAGGGAGCCCCTTAACCCCAAGGGTCAGCTTCAGGGAGCTATGAACTGAACCCCAAGAATGATATATGCTGTTTGGTGAGAGGGATCAGAGCTTTTATCGGATTTCAAAAAGATCGTTGGCCCCTAAAGGTGTAAAGCCTTTCTTTCAGGTTTGCTACTCTGCAGACACAGGGATCTCTCAAAATTAGCCTTTGTCAGGTATAAAGAAAGTACACCTCATTTTGGAAAAGTTATGTAACCTTGACATGAATTGTTTGGTAAACTATTCCACCTAAAGCAAAGCTGGCATTTCTAAGGCTCACATTTAGCGAGCACTTACTGTGAGTGAGGCACAAGACGAGCTTTCTACATTCAGTCATTTTTTAATTCTCATGACAGAGGGAGCTAGGAATTATAAT